AAGACTTGTGCTCCAGACCCTTCACCAGCTTCGTTGCTCTTCTTTGGACACGCTCCAGCACCTCCATGTCTGTCCTGTAGCGAGACCGCTCAGCTCCCAGCTAAGAGCCTTTGTGCTGGCAAGAGAACCAGCAGTTTGCTTTTACCCGCTTCCCCACGCTCCTGTTCCTGCAGGCCAGCACAGAGTTAGCCCGCCTTCAGCTGCTGCAGATGGTTGCAGTTTCGACAGCGAAACTTTCCCAGCACGGTTAATGCCGCGCAGTCCTGCCCGTCTCCGGCAGCACCAGCGCGCCCGAGCCCGTATTCAGGCAGGAGAGCGTTGCCTTTAAGTCGGGGTTGGCCCTCGTTAGATCTGGGCCCCAGCAGACCCCAGCGCGGGGAGGGGGCTGAATTTGCAGCTGTTTGTTTGGAAATACAGGTGACCATAAAACCCGCACCTGCGTCCAGTAAACTCCTTTTATTTGCCACCTGTTTGTCAGTTACTTAGGCTTGTAAATGGAACTTTAGATTTCTTCCAGCACCTCTGTAGCAACTGGCCAGCTGGGACCTCAAATAAAAAGGACTTCAAAAGGCGCCTGCTTGGACAGCGGGAGGCTGGGCATCTCTCCATGGCACCGGCAAAGCCTCTTGCAGCCGGTGAACACCCCCGTTATCAGAACAGAAAGGGGCTGAACCCCCCGCGCCGTGCTCTTTGGGCACTGTGCCCTTTGAAATCTTCCCCGGTATCGCCCTGCGTCCTACCGGGTGCGTTTTGTTGTAAGCACCATGTGGCCAATCTTTGCCGTGAGCCAATCTTTCCTTCTCCCCAGATTAGTAGTAAAACCACTGGAGAGGCTCTTTGTGGACGGTAGACGTCATATATCTCGATTTTAATACGACTTCTGACATAAGCCAACCAGGGAAATGTGGTTTAGATGCATTTTCTATACAGTAGGTCTAAAGCTGCTGGAAAGCCATAATTAGAGAGTAATTATCAATGGTTTGCTGTCAGAGTGGAAGGCAGCGCTGCACGGGTTCAAGGGGGATTGTCCTGAGCCTGGCGTTACTCAGTATTAACGACCTGGCTGATGGACCAGAGAGCGTGCGTCGTCCGTAGGTTTTAACGAGCAAAGCTGGGGAGGGCTGCAAGTCCCCTGGAATTCAAAGCGATCCTGACGAGTTGGAGAAAAGATCTGAAAAAACAGGGCGAAACGCAAAGCCCGAGTCCGAAGCAGGGAGTAGTCATGGGGGCAGGCGCAGGACGGGCATCACAGCCCTGCTGGCTGGGTGATGGTGCCGGCGGAGCATCGGCGATGCCACGAGGAGGGAGGATGCCGTGGTGTCACACCCACCCGAGATGCTCCTGCTGCAAACCCCTGAAGGGCTGCTGGAGAGGTCGGGGTCTGGGGTCTGCGGGTCCCCATATCGATGTGCTCTCTCCTCTTCTCCTCCAGCTGCGCCTGATCGACTGGGGGCTGGCGGAATTCTACCACCCCGGCCAGGAGTACAACGTGCGGGTGGCTTCGCGGTACTTCAAGGGACCGGAGCTCTTGGTAGATTACCAGGTACGTCCTGGCGGGGTCCAGCCCCTCGTGCCGACAGCGGAGCCTGGCTGTGGAAGACGCAGGCTGGTGTCCTGCGGCTGCGGTGTCCCGCTGCCGTGCAGCCCTGGGTTTTCCTGTGCCCAGGCACATGCCCGGTGGGTTACAACCTGCAGCTGCACGTGAGCGGGAGAGGGGACAGCCCAGATACAACTCGACGCTGGCTGGGAAAGGCTCTTGAGCGATCAGTGTAAACTGCCTGGGGTGAATCCGTGCCAAGGCGTGCAGTTAACTGGGGGAGGTGAGAATAAAAGAGAGTATTTGCCATCCTCCGAATGGCCCTTGAGGTGGCTGCTCTTGGCTGGTTGGCGTCCAGCTTTTCTGCCCACGACCGATGAGGCCACGTGCAGTTCAGGGTCTGAACCTGAAGCCTGTGTTGGAGACGGTCCTGGGCAAGGCAGAGCGTGGAGCTGCTGGATGCGGCACCAGACACCCACCCTCTGCTCTCTGCCGTCCTCTCGGGGGGGGTCTCAGTGTGTGTTCCCCCTCCTGGGCTGTCCTGGCAGCCTGGTGGCTCTGGAGCTTCGCTGACCTCCCCTCTCTCTCCTCTCGGCTTTTCCAGATGTACGACTACAGCTTAGACATGTGGAGTTTAGGCTGCATGCTGGCCAGCATGATCTTCCGGAAAGAGCCTTTCTTCCACGGTCACGACAACTACGATCAAGTGAGCCCCAGGGCAGCACGCTGCCCGCTCCCCCCGTCACCCCTTCCTCCCGCAGACCCTCCCGGTGAGCTGGGCGAGCCCCGGAGCATGCCGTGAAGCAAACCGGCGGCACCGAACCAGCGCGGTGGCTTCCCGACGCTGGCACACGCGTGCTACCTCTGTGTGCTGCCCCGTCTCCCCATGTCCCCCCCCACGCCGGGGTCTCGGTGCTCCCTGCTTCTATCCCTCCTCTTTCTGTCTGGGGGAGGAGTGGGTGAGCTGGCAGCTAAATCTGGGGGTGGCTGGGCAGGGGAGCAAAGCACTGGTTGTACTGGGAGGTGATAACAGGAGCTGTCTGCCTGACCCACGCGCTGTGGGTGTAGCCGGGGCGCAGCTCGGGAGCTGCAGGAGCAGCGCGCTCCATTTCGGTTACTCCAAAGGACGGTGCTGCCGCGGTGGGGTTCATGGGACGCGGCTTCAGAGCTGGCTGCTGCTTTCCAGTCGTATGGCTCCCGTAAACTCAGCCAGCGAACGCAGGCGTGCCCGGCGGGCTCCTAACCCCACCGCAGCCCAGAGCAGGGCCTGCAGGAACCTGCATTTGTGGGATCCTGGCTTCCCCGCTGCACCCACCCTCGGGGCGAGGAGGGGAAATCTGGGAATGCCGACCTTGGAGTGCACTGCGGGCACCTCTTTGCCCTTCCCTGCCAAGAGCGGGACCAGGGCACGCTTCCACATGGCTTCCAGCTGCCCCAGGGAAGGGCTGCGAGGCCTTGCCTTCACTTTCCACCCCGGAGAGGAATGGGAACGCGTCCTTCCCCAGCTATGAAGCTGAGCTGAGCTGTGGCCTCGCTGGGGGAGTGAGGGACACTGGAGTGGGGGGGCCGGGACCCACGGGGCTGCGGCTGGGCTGGCAGGAGCCCCGTCTCTGCCGTCGCCCTCAGCGTTGCTGCTTCACCCTTTCTGCCAGCTCGTGCGCATCGCGAAAGTGCTGGGGACGGAGGACCTGTACGACTACATCGACAAGTACAACATCGAGCTCGATCCCCGCTTCAACGACATCCTCGGCAGGTGGGTGTGCGGCCAAATCCTCCCTCGCCACGGTCGGGGCTTGGGGGCGAGAGAAACGGTCCGGCAGTGCCGGGATTCCCGCTGACTTGTGCTGTTCTCCGGGGAAGGTTGTGGGAGAGGGCAGCGTGGGAGGTGAGGTCGCCAGGCCATCGGCAGGGTGTGGGGCTGATGCAGCTCTCTCCTCCTCCTCCTCCTCGCAGACACTCGCGGAAGCGGTGGGAGCGCTTCGTCCACAGCGAGAACCAGCACCTCGTGAGCACAGAGGCGCTCGATTTCTTGGACAAGCTGCTGCGCTACGACCACCAGACACGACTCACTGCCCGGGACGCCATGGAGCACCCGTACTTCTGTACGTCTGCTGGCGTCGCTGCCTGCCCCAGCTCCTCGGGGCTGCCCACCGTTCCCTCCCTTCTAGCTCCTCTATCCCCCTGCAGGGCTGCTGCCCCATCGTCGGGGGGGGCTGGGCAGCGAGGCACCAGCGCTCCCCTCGGGTGTGCGGGGAGCCCTCGCTGACACCCGTCGCCTTCCCTTCCGCCCCGCAGATCCCATAGCGAAAGACCCAGCCAGGATCGGCACCTCGGCTGGACTCTCGGCCAGTAACACGCCTGTCAGCTCCTCCAGTATGTTGGCAGGTGAGCGCTGGGGCTCTGGCTGGGGACCCCCTCGGCCCCCCCACCCAGAGCCGAGCGTCGTCGCCAGCTCTGGGCTCTCCCCCCAACCCGCTCCTTCTCTCTCCGGCGCAGGTATTACCTCGATGTCCGCGTCCCAGCCCATCGGCAGCCTGGCTGCGTCGCCCGTCATCTCCTCTCCCAATGCTTTGGGCTCGCCGGTCCCCGCCGCAGCTGGCGTGCAACCCTGAACTCACCTCTCAACCGCCGGCTTTCCGCAGCGCCGAGGCCGGTGCCGTGCCTGCCTTCTGCCCTCCTGCCTGACCCGCCAGAGCCATGGGCTCCAGCCGGCAGCCCCTGCCCAGAGGCAGAAACAGGGTGGGAGGACGCTCTGGAATTTTATTTTTATTTCTGTCGAGTATGGAAAAAAAGAAAAGAAAAGAAAAAAAAAAAGAGCAAAAATGTAGGTTCTGTTTTGGTTTTTTTTTTGGTTTTTTTTGGGTTTTTTTTTTCTCTGTGCAGTAACAATATCACACTTTCTGGCGATGGACCAAGGCTGATCTCTGTTGCGTCTCTGTCGGGGTATGGAGTTAGCTGCATTCTTCTCATGAGGATCATGGTTAGTGATGCAACTACAGTGTAGAAATCTAAAAATGGATAATAAAATTTATTTTCTATGTCCCTAACAAACAGGTCAGCGGGACCAGCGGCTTCTTCTTGGGTGCTGGCAGCAGGCAGGGATGCCCTGCCTGGGGGGGGGTTACAGCACGGACATGGCTTGGCACAAACGTGTCCCCAGGGTGGGGGGGGGCCAGCGGCTTGTGGGCTCTGTAGCCCTTGGGGGTCCTGGTCTGCCCCCAGGCTGGGGGGGCTTCAGCCTCAGGTCAGGGCAAGCCCCGGTATCCGTCCAGGCTGGGGGATGGATGGATGGGGAGCAGCCCTGTGGAGAAGGACTGGGGGACACTGGTGGGTGACAAACAGGACATGAGCCGGCAATGTGCACTCGCAGCCCAGAAAGCCAAGTGTATCCCGGGCTGCATCCAGAGCAGCGCGGCCAGCAGGTCGAGGGAGGGGATTCTGCCCCTCGGCTCCGCTCTGGTGAGACCCCCCTGGAGCACTGCGTCCAGCTCTGGGGTCCCCAGCACAGAAAGGACATGTCCTGCTGGAGTGGGTGCAGAGGAGGGACATGAAGATGATCCAAGGGCTGGAGCACCTCTCCTATGGAGACAGGCTGAGAGAGTTGGGGTTCTTCAGCCTGGAGGAGAGAACGCTGCGAGGAGACCTTATTGTGGCCTTTCTATACTTAGTAATAGGGGAACTTTTACTTACTTATAAGAAAGATGTAGAGACTTTTTAGCAGGACCTGTAGCAATAGGATGAGTCATGGTTTTAACTAAAAGAGGGGAGATTCAGACTAGATGTAAGAAATTTTTTTTTACAACGAGGGTGGTGAGGCACTGGCCCAGGCTGCCCAGAGAGGTGGTCGATGCCCCATCCCTGGAAACATTCCAGGTCAGGTTGGACGGGGCTCTGAGCAACCTGGTCTAGTTGAAGATGTCCCTGCCCACGGCAGAACTAGATGATGACTTCTTTTGAAGGTCCCTTCCAACCCAAACCATTCTCTGACTCGCCACAGGGTGAATCTCGGGTCCCTCTGGGCTCGGAGCGCTTCAAAGGGGCTGTTTTTGTTTGTGCACAGGGGGGGGTCCTGCCACAGCATGTGGCCCCTCACTCGCCCTGTCCCCCCCAGCCCAAGGGAGACTGGGGACCCTTTTAGGGCAAGAGGTTGAACCTCATCCAGTCCATCCCAGCTGCTTCCCCACCCCAAACTGGAAGACCACCACCCCAGCTGGAACCAAAACTGCTCCCTGGCCAACCAATAAGTAGCCCTTGGTGGGGAGGGACAACAGGAGGGTCACTGCCTGCGGTACAGGCAGGGGCAGAGGGGAGCGAGGAACAGGGCTGAGGCCAGGCTTGGAAAGAAAAGAAAAAAAAGAAAAAAAAAAAAAGACACTTTTAATTACTCAGTATTTGAGAGAGAGAGATACAATCTGGAAGGGTTAAAAAGTGGCTGAGTGAGACCAGAGCAAGGCTGGGAGGCAGCAGCAGGGCCACAGGCAACCACAGGCAGCTGCCTGCGTGGGCAGCCCACCAGGGACGGAGGAAGCGGGGCCCGGGGCTCATAGCCAGCACAGCCACCGCGGGCAAGGGGGGGGTCGTGCCGGGGCCACCCCCCAGGCTCTGGGGATGACAGAGCCAGGGTGGGACACCCCCCCACTAAACCCGGTGAGCGGGACAGGGATGGATAGGACAGTCCCAGTCCCTTAAAGTGCCTTTCACGAGCAGGCAGCCGCTTCAAACTGGGGGGGGGGGGGCCGACAGGGGCGGACAGGGTCCGCTGTTGCCTCCCTCCTGCCCAGTCCCCCTGTTGTCCCCCCAGGGCCGAGCGGTGCGGGGGGGGGGGGGGTCCATGTGTGTCCCCCCCCTCCATGCCCCAGGAGCTATTGCATTGATCCAACATTCGATTCACAAGGACGGTGGCACCGGCACAGTCTGAGGGGGTCCGTGCGCCCCAGCGGGGGTTCACCGGGGAGGGACGGGCTGTCGGACCACCGCCTCACTGGTTGCCTTCATAGTTGAGCACGTAGTAGTCGTGCACGTACATCAGGACGGCGATGGGCTGGCCGATGATCAGGGATATCCAGACGGCCGCGTTCCCGTAGTTACCCCTGAGGAATTTGGAGACGAACCAGGCCAGCGGGATCTGGAAGGGATGGAGTGTGGGGGGGTGGAGCAGCATCAGCCCCATGGCAAAGCGGGGCTCAACCTCGGGGGGCTGCAGGACCCCCCCAAACCCCTGTCCCCCTTCCCAGGGGACCCAGCACGGAGTCAGGGCTCTCCCTTACCTGAGCTGCCATCCCCATGAACGCCCAAGGCCGCAACATCTTCAGGGGGACGCTCAACAAGTACTGCGGGGACACAGCGTCAGCGCCGGCCCTGGGCTGGGAGCAATCGGAGCTCCGGGCAGGGACTTGGGGGGGGTTAGAGGGGGGGGCAGCAGCCAGGCAGCCCCCCCCAGGAGCTGGGAGGGAGCACTGACCTCGTGGAAGAAGGCAGACGCCAGGAAAACGGCCGTCTGGGCTGCCCACTTGCTGGCCCCCCGCTTTAGCATGGGCTTGTAGAAGTGCCTGAGAAGCAGCCCCCCCATTAGCACAGAGTCCTGGGAGTGTCACAGCCCCCCAGAGCGAGGGGACACACACACAGGACAGCCCCCTCCTGCGACCCCCCCCCCCGTACCTGAGACACCACTTGTGGACAGGGATGTTCCAGTTCTGCCAGAAATAGGTCACTGACTCCGAATTCCTGAGGAAGAGGGCGGTGAGCCGCAACCGGGAGCTGCCGCGTCCCCGTCCCTGCTCAGGGACAGGAGGGGACTCCCCCCCCTTTGCCCCCCACTCACCACCAGTCCCTGTAAAATTCCCGGTCCCCGAACTGCATCACTTCGGCCACCACGTTCAGGCAGGAGTGGAAGAACCAGTAGAAAAAGATGAGCCAGATGAGGTGGTTGGGGACCTGGGGGGGGAGGCAGAAGCCATGAGGAATAAAGGGGGGGGGCTGGCTGGGTGTGTGTCCCCCCCACGGGCAGGGGGACCAGCAGTGGGGGCAGCAGGGGTACTCACGGCCAGCTTCAGGAGCCGCTCGATGATCCGGGAATAATCCATGTCCTGCAAGGCATCGGCTCGCGTCACCCCTGTCCCACGGTCACCCGGGAAGAGGGCAGGCAGGGACTGGGCTGTCCCGGGGGGGGGCTCGAAATGCGGGAGGGAGGGCAGCTTGGCCGGATCCTGGCGCTGGCTCTGGGGGCCGGACAGCTTCTGGCCCACTGAGGCCAGGCGGGGGGGAGCTTCTGACACCCCTCCCAAAAAAACACCTGCCCGGGGCCCCCATCACTCACCCGAAACGGCTTCATGGAGTTCTGGATCGTGGGCACCATCCACTGGAACAGAAAACGCCGCTGGAGCCCGGGCTTGGCACAGGGAGGGGGGGACCCCAACACGCCCCCCCCCCATGCTGGCAGAGCCCCCGGGTACCCGGGGAC